GGCTGGTATTCTGAAGTGTGTGTGTGTGTAGTAAGGTGTTTATCTGCTATGTGGTTCAGTCACATTCTTTACTGCTGTTTTTACCGTCATTAAAGTTCAAGCAGATTTAAAAATCATTACTCACTGATGGAGGAAACTGACTGTGTGTGTGTGTGCATGTGTGTGTGTGTGCGTGTGTTCAGTTTGTGTGAATTGTATGGTTTGTGTTTGAATTAAGTGACTAGTGTGTGTATGTTGAATGTGTTGCTAAGTGTATGGTGTGTATATGTGTATTAAGTGTGTAGTTTCAATTTGTGTGTGTGTGTGTGTGTGTGTGTGTGTGTGTGTGTGTGCGCGCTGTCTTGTTTTAAGCATGGGGTATGAATGTGTGTAGTTTTTGTATGCGTATGTCAGTTGTTTTTTGTGTGTGTGTGTGTGAGCAGGTGTTGTCTGCATGTGTGTGAAATGTCAGTGTGTTTGTGTTCTGTGTGTGAGTGAATTGTCTGTTATGCTTAACATCTTGCGCATCTGTGTAGCAGGTTAGAGTGAATGTGTGTGTGTGTGTGCGCGCGCATGTATTAAGTGTGTAATGTCACTGTACGAACTGTGCAGTGTCTGTGTGTATTAGGTGTGTGTAGTTTCAGTGCGTGTGTGTGAGTTGTCATTGTGTTTGTTCAGTGTGTGAGAAGAATTGTGTTAGTTATGTTACATGTTGGGTGTGTGTGTTATGTTAAGTGAATGGCATGTAAGTGTGTGTGTGTGTGTGTGTGTGTGTGTGTGTGTGTAAATTAAGCTTGTGGCATGTGTATTCCTAAGTACTTCGGTGTGTGTGTGTGATTTGTCTTTGTGTGGCATTTGTATGTATTAAGTGTGTGGTGTCTTTTTATTGTGTGTGTGTGTGTGTTAATTGTGTGATGTTTTTTTTTATTATTGTGTGTGTGTGTGTGTGTGAAGCATGTGGCATGACAGTGTGTGTGCGCATATCAAGCGTGTGGCGTTTTTGTATTGCTAAGTGTGGGGTGTGTGAAATGTATGTCAGTGTGTGTGTGTCAGACAATTGTCTTTGTGTGGCGTTTCTCTGTGTGTGTGTGTGTGTGTGTGTCAAGTGTGTGGTGTCTATTTGTATTGTTAAATGTGTGGTGTGTGTGTGTGTGTGTATTATGTTAGGTGTGTGTATTGTTCAGTTTAGCGTGTGTGTGTGTGTGTGTCAGTCAGCTGAGACGAGAACAAACAATAACCAGAAATGCAAGAGCTAATTCTCTCTCTCTTTCTCTTTTGTTTTTAATTCTCTCTCTCCTTCCCTTTTCTTTAAGATTATATATATTTATTAATCATAATAATAATAACAATATACATGTATGTTTTTGTACTTGTGTTATAATTAAAGAGTTGTTCAAGTCTCTCTCTCTCTCTCTCTCTCTCTCTTCATTCTTCTTCTTGTGTCTGGTTTTGTTCTCTGTGAATGACGGGCGGGTGTCTTGACTGTAGTGTCTGGACTGGTTTTCCCTCAGGATAGTTTTACATCGGACACAAGACTGAAACTCAACACAGATCCTCAACACTGTTAAATGAGCACACAAATCAGAGTCTTTAATATGAGCTGAAATGAGAGTTAGAGCTCAGTTTTCCCTCATTCTTTCGTGCTGAGCTCCTCCTGTTATGACTGAAGCTGATGTAAATAGAGCAGAATTACAGCTGAAATCGAGTCCGTCTCATATTAGATAAGGTTTCTTAAACAACACTGTTATTTTCCTCTATATTAACCAACACAATCTCACGGCAATTCGTAACTTTTTGCTGGACTGACTGAGTATCTACTATTAAATATCTACTATTGACAAATATAAAATACAGTAAAACACTGTAAATATGTTGAAACGCTTTGATATGTTGGCAGTAGGGCTTGGCGATAATTCAATATCGATAATGATCACTATATATATTTTCCAATAAAACGATAATGACAGTTTGATAATTGCTCAATAATATTTGTGCACTATGCGTAACGCTGCGCAGGAATTTTGCAGCCTGCAATTTCGGATGCCACACGCAGTTTACAAGTTTACAGCCATACAGTGCTAGCTGCACTTAGAGGAGTGAGGAAAAATAAGGTGAAAAAAGGTCAGAGTCACAGACTGGAAACGTCACATCAGTCTGGAGCTACAGTTTTTTTGCAATCCGACATATAACAGAGCAACGTGCACTGCAAACTGCACAGACGACTCGTGTCATCAAAAGCAGGCAACACCACACACCTGTTTCATCATTTAAAACAGCACCACCCTTATGAAGATGCTAATAAAATTACAGACAAAACAAGTGCTGGTAACCCAGCAGAGTTTCATCTTAACTTTTCAATCCAGATGGATGGGGCAACCATTACTGCATCCAAAATGGTGAAAAGCCTTAGAGTAACGATTGATGACCAACTAAACTTCTCTGACCACATCTCTAGAACTGCTCGATCGTGCAGATTCACACTCTATAACATCAGAAAGGTCCGACCCTTCCTATCTGAACATGCAGCTCAACTCCTTGTTCAAGCTCTTGTTCTCTTCAGACTGGATTACTGCAACTCTCTACTAGCCGGGCTTCCAGCTAACTCTATCAAGCCTCTTCAGCTGCTTTAGAACGCAGCAGCACGAGTGGTCTTTAATGAAGCTAAAAGAGCACACGTCACTCCGCTGCTCATCCGTTTGCACTGGCTGCCAGTTGCTGCTCGCATCAAATTCAAAGCTCTGATGTTTGCTTACAAAGCGACTTCTGGCTTTGCTCCTTCTTATCTGCTCTCACTTCTGCAGATGTATGTGCCCTCCAGAAACTTGCGTTCTGTGAATGAACGTCGCCTCGTGGTTCCATCCCAAAGAGGGAAGAAATCACTTTCCCGAACTCTCGCTTTCAATCTGCCCAGTTGGTGGAATGAACTCCCTAACTGCATCAGATCAGCAGAGTCACTCGCTGTCTTCAAGAAACCACTAAAAACTCAACTATTTAGTCTCCACTTCCTTTCCTAATCTGCAATTGCCTCTCTGGCTCCACCACTAACTGTTCTTCAAAAAAAATAAATAAAATAAAAAATTACTAATGTTTTGCTTTACACTTACACTTACTGCTTACACTTTACACACCTGAAACTTGCCTGCAGCACTTATTCATTGTTGCTCTTATAGTTGTGTAAATTGCTTCCTTGTCCTTATTTGTAAGTTGCTTTGGATAAAAGCGTCTGCTAAATGACTAAATGTGTCAAGTTTTAAATTTATAGGATATTTAATAGAGAGCCAATGCACTGAAATGCAATGCAATGCAATGAAAGCATGAATAAGCTTTTCTGCATCAGACATTGATGCAATAAGGTAGGGATGTTTCATATATTTATTAGACTTTCTGATGAATTTAAGGCAAAATAGTTGATTCAATTCACCTTTATTTGTACTGTACTTTTACATTGTAGATTGTGTTAAAGCAGCTTCACATAGAAGATTGTAGTGAATTGAAGCAGTGTAGTTCAGTTTTCAGTGTTTAAGTTCAGTTCAGCTCAGCTTAGTTCAGTGTGGTTTAATATTCACTACTGAGTCCAAACACTGAAGAGCAAATTCATCGATGCGCAGCTCTACAGATGCCGAACCATGCAAGCCAGTGGCGACAGCAGAGAGTGAAAAACTTGTCCAAAGGCAAAAATGAAGTATTAAAAAAACCTGGAGGGAAACCAGGCTCAGTTGAGCACGACCATTTCTCCTGGCTAAACGTCTTGTGCAGAGCTGTAGTCTAGGCGCCGGAGGCTGGAGAACGCTAGACCTCAGTGAAGACTCGTCTATCCCTGGAGCGTCACAGGAATCAGTCTCATGCTCTCCACTCCTCCATGACCACCACAGCAACTGCTCAGGATACGGCCTGGTCCAGGATTATGGGAACCTTGGGATCATCTCGTCTCTGGTCTTGGATCCAATCAGTGGTGCTGCAAGGCCTCAGGATGAGTATTGTCAGGTGGAAATGGAGAATAAAGAGAATAATTAGCGTAGCTGTTGTTCATAGTGTATATAAACGAGATGTGTGGAGCACATTCATGTATCATACAAGTGATGCATTAAGTGTATGCTTTACTAAAGAGACAGGTCTTTAATCTAGTGTTAAACTGTGAGAGTGTGTCTGAGCCTCGAACATTATCAGGAAGGCTATTTCAGAGTGTAGGAGCCATAAATGAGAAGGCTCGACCTCCTTTAGTAGACTTTGCTTTTCTAGGTAGTACCAGAAGCCCTGAGTTTTGAGATCTTAAAGAGCGAGTTGGATTGTAGCGAGACAGAAGGTTGGTTAGATAAACAAGAGCTTGATTATTTAAAGCTTTATATGCAAAAAGCAATATTTTAAATTCAATAGGAAACTGAACAGGCAGCCAGTGTGAGGAGGAAAACATTGGGGTGATATGATCATATTTTCTAGACCTGGTCAGAACTCTGGCTGCTGCATTTTGCACTAGCTGAAGTTTATTAATAGAGGATGCTGGACAGCCAGCAAACAGAGCATTACAGTAATCCAGCCTAGAGCTCATAAAAGCATGGACTAGCTTTTCTGCATCAGAGATTGATAGCATACTTCATGACTCAGCGATATTTCTCAGATGAAAGAAGGCAGTTTTTGTGACATGGGATATTTGATTTTCAAAAGTTAAATTGCTGTCTAATATAACACCCAGATCTTTTATAGTAGAGCTAACGCTAACTTTGTATCCCTCTAATCAACTGCATCCTTTGATGTTAGAAACGAGTGATAAGGAATGTGTTTTATTATTTGCATTCAGCATTGATTTCTCTCCGCCACACACACACACACACACACACACACACACACACACACACACACACACACACACCTGTAACACTCATGGAGCAGCATGGGAACGGCCTTCAGTTTCTCTGTCCTGTTTCTCTGGTTTGGAATGATTGATTCTGATAGTGTGGTTTAATATTAACACACTCTTTCTCACACACTCATTTTCTCACACACTGTCTGTGTGTGTTTGTCAGTATGTGTTTGCAGTGAGTTCATGGATTCGCCGATGTCCTTGCGCTCGTTCAGCGGCTCCGAGGCGAGGCTGAAGTGTGTGTTTGTGGCGCCCAGAGATGTGACTGTGGTACAGGTGACCTGGAGCAGACACACACCTGCCGGAAAAACACAGCAGATCATCACCGGACACTACACTGAGGGACCCAAAGGTGTGTGTGTGTTTGATATATGTTTATTGTTTTCTATATCACTGAATCATAAACTCGTCATTCTTTTAGACATCGCTTCATTTATAAACGCAAACGCTCGAATCTCACAGAACCTGTTGGAGAAATGTTCGGGTCATATTTCATCATGCAAAACATCTGAATAATCTGCAAATCAGGCTTTATTTATTTAATTTTCTCTGTACCGTGTGTGACATGGACACACATTCAGCACATTCAAACACTTACTGTCATAAATCTCCACACACACACACACACACACACACACACACACACACACACACACACACAGGTTTCCTGCTCTGCATTGTGTGTTTGTCACCTGGAGACGTGTGTCTGTCTGTCATGACGGAGGTTTTCAATAGTGTATTGTGTTCAGGGCTTCATCTGCCATCTGTGTTGCAATGCTTTAACAAATAGTCACAACACAAATAAACATTATATATATATATTATGGTTTGTCTTTATTTACTCGCCCTGATGCTGTTTCACGTGTTCACGCTGCTCATACTGTGGCAGTGAATGAGGGCCGCAAGATAAAACATTATGGCAGTCAGGATTTTACCTTCTGAATCTTCCTTCCTTCTATCGCTCGATTTGTCTATCAATCTTTCTTTCATATTCATTCGACATTCGTTTATAATAGGGATGGGAAGATTAACCGATATGTATCGATACGCGGTCATGCGCGTGCACGATGCGAGTGCATCGGTTGAGCAGCAGAGGATGAATGAAATTTTGGAAGCAAATCGAGATGCATCGGTTTTTGCGAGATGCATCGATTTTTCCGAGATACAGCTTATATTTTTAATATAGAATGTATTTTTTATTTATTAACAAGTGTTGTTAACCTGTTTTTGGCGCATAATTTAATCGACCTACATAAAGTAAGCCTTAGCAACGGATTTGCGGATGTGTACACTTACACTACAACTCAGTGTATCAGGTGTGTGGATGAAGCTAGTGGAGCGCCCTCAGAAAGCGCGAGAAGCAAAACAAACATTTTATTCCCCACTGAGTTTTAAATCTAAAGTATGGCAACATTATGGATTTAAGGATGGACGACATGACAGGACAGATGCAATTTGCGAAATGTGCCGAGCATCTGTAAAATACGCGGGCAGTACGACTAATCTGAAATCTCACTTGAAGCGGCGCCACGGTGTTGTTGTGAAAGCATCTTCCAGTGTTCCTGCATCCCCGGCTTTCGCACTGCTTCAACCAGCTCCAAAAGTGGTGAGAAAAGCATTGCAAGTTTTTTTATCCATGCGCAACAGTTCTGCTCGCTCTACGCCAATAACGGATGCTATTGCATTGTTCATCTGCAAAGATATTCAGCCTAGTGTCACGGAGAACGAAGGTTTTAAACACCTCCTCCTGTTAATTTTTATTTAATTATAATAATAATATTAATAATGATAATGATAAAAATAATTGGGTGTCACGGTGGCACAGTGGGTAGTTTGACCACCTCACAGCAAGAAGATTGCTGGTTTGTTATATTTTTATTAGCCTGTTGTTTACAGTGACAGTGATGTTTCAAAGCAGCATAACACTGCTAGTTCACCACCTTAAGTTTTGAATATTCAGTGGCAAAATATATCTTTGTAAAACTTGTTTTCATAGTTGAAAAGTTAAATCACAATTCTTGTTGTGCAATGCTAAATTTATTTATGTTGAAAGAGTGCAAATATATACATATTTTTTAATATATATTGCACTTATACATTCTGTTTATCTTGAAAGTACTTAAATAATATGTGCTATATGTTCTAAAATGGCCCTCTACTGTAAACTGACACTCTGGCTCTGAGAGAAGAGCCAGTTTGTAAAAAAGTCTTGGTTTTGCTTGGTTTATAAATAATCAAACTCATTCAATGGCACAGCATCCTCTTTCACATCATCTCATAAACTTGATCTAATTAGTTAGTGCTGAATTATCGCATTGTATCGTGATATGGGTGTGAATCGTATCGTGTTGCATCGCAATATGTCACAAATGTATCGCTAATATATCGGATCGTATTCTTTGTATCGAGATGCGTATCGGATCGGCATTATAGCTTAGATGCCCAACCCTAGTTTATAATGTTTATTTGACATGGACATCACAATTACACTGGACAAACCAAACACTGTGATAGATAAATGGATAGATGGAACAAGATTGATAGATTGAACAAGAGGTGGATAGATAGATAGATAGATAGATAGATAGATAGATAGATAGATAGATAGATAGATAGATAGATAGATAGATAGACAGATAGATAGACAGATAGATAGACAGATAGATAGACAGATAGATAGACAGATAGATAGATAGATAGATAGATAGATAGATAGATAGATAGATAGATAGATAGATAGATAGATAGATAGATAGATAGATAGATAGAACAATAGGTGGATGGATAGATGGAACAAGAGGTAGATAGTTAGATAGATAGAAGGATAGAATGATGGATGGATGGATGGATGGATAGAACAAGAGGTGGATGGATAGATAGAAGGATAGAATGATGGATGGATGGAATGATGGATATATGGATATATAGAACAAGAGGTGGATGGATAGATAGAAGGATAGATAGATAGATAGATAGATAGATAGATAGATAGATAGATAGAAGAATAGAATTATGGATGGATGGATAGATGGAACAAGACAGATAGAACGAGATTGATAGATAGAACAGGAGGTGGATGGATAGACTGATAGAATGACAGATGGATGGAAAGAAGGATAGAAAGATGAATATAAGGATAGATTGATGGATGAATGGATGGATAAATAGATAGATGGAACGAGATGGATAGAACAAGAGATAGATAGATAGATAGATAGATAGATATATAGATAGATAGATAGATAGATAGATAGATAGATAGATAGATAGATAGAAGAATAGAATGACAGCTGGATAGAGGGATGGATGGATAGATAGAGATAGATTGATAGATACTTGGGTAGATTGAAGTAGGTAGATAAATCAAGATGGATGGATGGATAGAATGACAGATGGATGGATGGACAAATAGATGGAAAGAATGATAGATAGACAGACAGACGGATGGATGGATGGATAGATTGATAGATACATGGGTGGATTAAACTAGGTAGATAGAACAAGATAGGATAGATAGATGGATGAATGGATGGAAAGATAGATAGATAGATAGATAGATAGATAGATAGATAGATAGATAGATAGATAGATAGATAGATAGATAGATAGATAGATAGATAGATAGATAGATAGATAGATAGAATGACAGCTGGACAGAGGGATGGATAGATAGATAGAGATAGATTGATAGATACTTGGGTAGATTGAAGTAGGTAGATGGATCAAGATGGATGGATGGATGGATAGAATGACAGATGGGTAGATAGATGGATAGAGAGATAGATAGATGGATGGATGCACGAATGGATGGAATGGCAGATAGACAGACAGAATGATAGAACAATAGATCGAAAGTTAGACTGACAGACGGATGGATGAAAGGATAAAATGACAGATGAACAGATGGATGGAGATGGGTCTGTCTGTCGTTGTCAGCGAGTCTGCTAAAACACAGTGCATTTGGTTTGTCCAGTGTAATTGTGATGTCCATGGCTGCGTCTGAAATCGCCTACTACTCAGTAGGTACTGCATTTGAATGTAAACGCACTACTCGGCCGTTAGAAAAGTGCGTTCTATACGGGATACATGTAAAAAGTATGAATGGAATTGGGTTGTACTACATCCGCTATTTTGTCTTTATCACATAACCTACCTGCGTCAGTTGCGTCGCTTCCATTCATGAATTCTCTCGCGGGGCATCATGGGATAGCGCAGCATGCTTGGGATGCGCATTCCAGAATCTCGCCGGAAGTAGTAAGTCATCCGGGTACTTCTCACATTCTGATTTTCGAATTCTATGAATTCAGACACACTACTCAGCTCGCATACTGATTTTAGCGTACTATATAGTATGGAAGTATGCGGTTTCGGACACAGCCCATGTCAAATAATCATTATGAATGAATGTGGCACGGCTTTATTTACTCCTGTGCTTTTGACGATCAGATCAGCTTTATCGTTAAACCAAGATGAAGTGAGTCGCTGTAAATAACCCCGAGAGATCCTATAATCCAGACTGTAATCTTCTGCTGCTGTTTCAGTGTCTCCTGAGTTTGCGGATGGTTTTCGGTTTGAGAGTCCAGATCCGTTGACTGACTCTACTCTACTGATCGAGAACACTGTACGGGCGGATGAAGGTGTTTATACCTGCAGCATCGCCACCTTCCCATCCGGAAACTTCCAGAGGAGGATCAGCCTGAGCGTCTGGAGTGAGACTCGCACTCATTCACATCACTTTTAATCTCACATTACCAGCAGCATGTGTGCTATGATGAGGGAAAAGCTGAGGTGCTGACTCCAGGCACTGCAGAATACACTGACAGGATACACGTATACAAAATGCTGTGACTTTTAGGAGAATATTGACCTTAATCTTCAGTGTGGAGGAGCGCTCATGCCTTATGGAAGAAATGACTAGGGATAATTAACGGCACAAAACGGTCAAATTAGTTCCTCGACAAGCAAGTGTGTTCATGAATATAGGTAGAAAGTAGAATAATGTGTTAAGAAAATAGCCAAGCAGCACAACGAGCTGTTTTTAACATCTAAAAATCAATGAATGAGAGCGGAAGTCTGGAGCCAAAAAGATTTCAATAGCTGCAGCTGTTCAGACGTCCAGAATAAGGTCAATACGTTTGAATAGAGTCTGTACATACACAGTGCACAATACAATAAAATATTTATTCTCATCTATATTCTGATCTCACAAACAACAAACTTTACACTTTTGTTCTGTCTATATTCCATATAATGTTATTTATATTGTTATTATTATAAATATTGTCTTTGTATGATTTTATTTATATTATTATTGTTATTATTATTATTATTATTATTATTATTATTATTATTATTATTATTATTATTTATATTATTATAATTATCATTATTATTTAAGTTCTATCTATTCATTTTTTTTTCTTCTTCCTAATATTATCATCTTATATCTTTATTTTTTGCCAATTATTATAATATATTTTTAATATATTATTATTATTATCATTATTATTAATGTTATTATCTTTATATATTTTATTATTATTATATTATTATTACTACTGTTACTATTATTAATATTATTATTATTATAATTAATATTATTATATATGTATTATTTATTATTATTATTATTATTATTAATAATAATAATAATAATGTTTGTATTATTATATTATTAATATTATTATTGTTACTATTATTATTATTTTATATTTTTTAAATATATTATTAATATTATTATTAATAATGTTGTTGTTGGTATTATTATTATCATTATTATCATATTGTATGTTTATTTTATTTACTTTGTTATTATATTATAATTAATACTATTGTTTTATATTTATTTAAAAATAATAATAATACATATTATTATTATTATTATTATTATTATTATTATTATTATTATCTTTATATATTTTCTATTTGTTATTATCATTGTCATTATTAATGTTATTATTACTATTATTATATTATTATTTTTTAAATCCTATTTACTTTGTTACTTATTAATATTATTAATATTATTAACATTATTATTATTATTATTATCGTGATGATATTGTATATCTGTTTTATTTACTTATATAATAATAAGTTATTATTTTTATTATTGTTTTAACCTTTTTATATTTTTTATTTATTTATTTAATTAATATTATTATCTTTGTATATGTTATAATTGTTATTATTACTACTGACATTGTTCATCATATATTTTATTTTATTTACTTATATAATTTCTATTTATTTTAATATTGTTAAATTGTATATTTATTTTTGTTTACTTATTTACTTATTATTATTATTATTATTTTATTATTACTATTATTATTATATATTTTATGTTCTATATTTGTTGTTGTTGTTGTTGTTGTTGTTGTTGTTGTTGTTGTTGTTAATATTATCATATATATTTTTATTTTTTCATTATTATTATTATTATTATTATTATTATTATTATTATTAAAAACAATAATAATTATTTTAATATTTTTTTACTATGTGTTTATTTATGTTTTTTTGTTTATTTATCTGTTAATCTGTAATTGTATTAATTGTGAATGATATGTTCAGCCAAAGCTCCAAAAATACCAATTTATAAAACTAAGTTTATTAAAGGCGAGTAATGTTTCGGGCCCATCAGACTTCATCAGGCTCCTCGTGGGTTTGTGTGTTGGTTTGTTTGAATGTGTTTTGTGATTTATTAATAGTTTATTTATTACATTTATTAAAAATTTACAAAAAAAATATTAAAATGTTTATAAAAATATGCTGATGATGATAATAATAATAATAATAATATTAATAATTCAGTAACAAATAAATTAATGAATAAATTAATAAGTAAATGCATAAATAAAAATAATAAAATATGTAAATATAAATGTTCTTCTATTCTTCTTCTCTTGCAGTGTACCCGATCTCCTCTGTGGAGCATGTGGTCCTCAAGGAGGGTCAGTCCTATGGTATTGCTGCATCTTGTCGTGCGGTCGCTCACCCTCCGGCACGTCTGTCCTGGGACACTGATGTTTCTGGCCAATCGCAGAACCGCAGCGGAGACGGAGGAGTCGTGACCACTCAGTTTTCTCTCTATCCTTCACGCAGCATGAACGGACAGAAGCTGGACTGTCTGGTCTGGCATCCTGTTTATGAGGAACCGCACAGACTCGCCAACAAACTCGTCGTACAATGTGAGTCCAGCTGCAGTACTTGTTTCCCAAAATATGTGAGAGAGGCTAAAAGAAGCTCCCACCTCCTAAATAATGTAGTATCAAAATTATCATGTACATTCATTGTTCCAGTTGAAGCTTTTTTTCAGTAGTGTATTCTTGACCAAGGAAAGCCTTTGCAGAATGTTGCTGCTGCTCTAGTTTTCTGCAGTGGATGTAATTGTGAGCTACTCTGAATCTCTGCGTTTTCTGTGTTTAATCATTAGTTCCTCTGCGTTTTCTCTGTTTGTGCATTTAGTTTGTCTGCATTTTCCATGTTTGTGCATTAGTTCCTCTGAGTTTTGTCCGTTTGTGCGTTAGTTCCTCTGCATTTTGTCTGTTTGTGTGTTAGTTCCTCTGCGTTTTGTCTGTTTGTGCGTTAGTTCCTCTGCGTTTTGTCTGTTTGTGCGTTAGTTCCTCTGCGTTTTGTCTGTTTGTGCGTTAGTTCCTCTGCGTTTTGTCTGTTTTTTGCATTAGTTCCTCTGCGTTTTGTCTGTTTTTTTTGCATTAGTTCTTCTGCGTTTTGTCTGTTTTTTGCATTAGTTCTTTTGCGTTTTGTCTGTTTTTTGCATTAGTTCCTCTGCGTATTGTCTGTTTTTTGCATTAGTTCCTCTGCGTTTTGTCTGTTTGTGCGTTAGTTCCTCTGCGTTTTGTCTGTTTTTTGCGTTAGTTCCTCTGCGTTTTGTCTGTTTTTTGCATTAGTTCTTCTGCGTTTTGTCTGTTTTTTGCATTAGTTCCTCTGCGTTTTGTCTGTTTTTTGCATTAGTTCCTCTGCGTTTTGTCTGTTTGGTGTTAGTTCCTCTGCGTTTTGTCTGTTTGTGCGTTAGTTCCTCTGCGTTTTGTCTGTTTGTGCATTTAGTTCCTCTGCGTTTTGTCTGTTTGTGCATTAGTTCCTCTGCGTTTTGTCTGTTTGTGCGTTAGTTTCTCTGCGTTTTGTCTGTTTTTTGCATTAGTTCTTCTGCGTTTTGTCTGTTTGTGCATTTAGTTCCTCTGCGTTTTGTCTGTCTGTGCATTAGTTCCTCTGCGTTTTGTCTGTTTGTGCGTTAGTTCCTCTGCGTTTTGTCTGTTTGTGCATTAGTTCCTTTGCATTTCAGTGATTGTGCATTAGTTCCTCTGCGTTTTGTCTGTTTGTGCATTAGTTCCTCTACGTTTTCTCTGTTTGTGCATTAGTTCCTCTGCGTTTTCTCTGTTTGTGCGTTAGTTTCTCTGCGTTTTGTCTGTTTGTGCGTTAGTTCCTCTGCGTTTTGTCTGTTTGTGCGTTAGTTCCTCTGCGTTTTGTCTGTTTGTGCATTAGTTCCTTTGCATTTTCAGTGATTGTGCATTAGTTCCTCTGCGTTTTGTCTGTTTGTGCATTAGTTCCTCTGCGTTTTCTCTGTTTGTGCATTAGTTCCTCTGCGTTTTCTCTGTTTGTGCATTAGTTCCTCTGCGTTTTCTCTGTTTGTGCGTTAGTTCCTCTGCGTTTTGTCTGTTTGTACGTTAGTTCCTCTGCGTTTTGTCTGTTTGTGCGTTAGTTCCTCTGCGTTTTGTCTGTTTGCCTGTTTGTTCCACTGCGTTTTGTCTGTTTGTGCGTTAGTTCCTCTGCGTTTTGTCTGTTTGCGTGTTAGTTCCTCTGTGTTTTGTCTGTTTGTGTGTTCGTTCCTCTGCGTTTTGTCTGTTTGTGCGTTAGTTCCTCTGCGTTTTGTCTGTTTGTGCGTTAGTTCCTCTGCGTTTGGTCTGTTTGTGCGTTAGTTCCTCTGTGTTTTGTCTTTGCGTGTTGGTTCCTCTGCGTTTTGTCTGTTTGTGTGTTCGTTCCTCTGCGTTTTGTCTGTTTGCGCGTTAGTTCCTTTGCGTTTTGTCTGTTTGTGCGTTAGTTCCTCTGCGTTTTGTCTGTTTGTGCGTTAGTTCCTTTGCGTTTTGTCTGTTTGTGCGTTAGTTCCTCTGCGTTTTTTCTGTTTGTGCATTAGTTCCTCTGCGTTTTGTCTGTTTTTTGCATTAGTTCTTCTGCGTTTTGTCTGTTTTTTGCATTAGTTCCTCTGCGTTTTGTCTGTTTTTTGCATTAGTTCCTCTGCGTTTTGTCTGTTTGCGCGTTAGTTCCTCTGCGTTTTGTCTGTTTGTGCGTTAGTTCCTCTGTGTTTTGTCTGTTTGTGTGTTAGTTCCTCTGTGTTTTGTCTTTGCGTGTTAGTTCCTCTGTGTTTTGTCTGTTTGTGTGTTCGTTCCTCTGCGTTTTGTCTGTTTGCGCGTTAGTTCCTCTGCATTTTGTCTGTTTGTGCGTTAGTTCCTCTGTGTTTTGTCTGTTTGCGTGTTAGTTCCTCTGTGTTTTGTCTGTTTGCGTGTTAGTTCCTCTGTGTTTTGTCTGTTTGCGTGTTAGTTCCTCTGTGTTTTGTCTGTTTGTGTGTTCGTTCCTCTGTGTTTTGTCTGTTTGCGTGTTAGTTCCTCTGTGTTTTGTCTGTTTGCGTGTTAGTTCCTCTGCGTTTTGTCTGTTTGTGTGTTAGTTCCTCTGCGTTTTGTCTGTTTGTGCGTTAGTTCCTCTGTGTGTTGTCTGTTTGTGCGTTAGTTCCTCTGCGTTTTGTCTGTTTGCGTGTTAGTTCCTCTGCATTTTGTCTGTTTGTGCGTTAGTTCCTCTGCGTTTTGTCTGTTTGTGCGTTAGTTCCTCTGCGTTTTGTCTGTTTGCGCGTTAGTTCCTCTGCGTTTTGTCTGTTTGTGCGTTAGTTCCTCTGCGTTTTGTCTGTTTGTGCGTTAGTTCCTCTGTGTGTTGTCTGTTTGTGCGTTAGTTCCTCTGCGTTTTGTCTGTTTGCGTGTTAGTTCCTCTGCATTTTGTCTGTTTGTGCGTTAGTTCCTCTGCGTTTTGTCTGTTTGTGCGTTAGTTCCTCTGCGTTTTGTCTGTTTGCGCGTTAGTTCCTCTGTGTTTGTGTTGTAATTGCTCTTTCTTTGTGTTTTTACTTTAGTTCCCGTCTGTTTTTGCTTTAGTTCCTCCAGATGCTGAGGCTGTGGGCTCTGGATCATGGCAGATCGGAAGCTCTGGATCAGAGATCAGATGTTTGGTTAAAGGAAACCCGCTGCCGCAGAACGTCTCCTGGAGCAGGTCAGATTTCAGATCATCTGCTTCTCTAATTTTTATCTTAGAGGAGGATTCAGTCTGACTGATGTGTAAAGCTACAAAGCATGGTTGATTTGTTATCGGTGAGTTCAAAAACGAAACTATCAGGGCTGGTATTTGGTCTTTTAAATATTATTATCAGTGAGTAGCAAAACAAAAACATTAGTTCTCATCTAGTCTTTTAAAAAGTGGTTTCTGTGGGTGCAAAGGCAAAAGTACCAGTAGTTGTATTTGCTCTGTTAAAGTGGTGTTGTTATTGGTGCTGGGAAGTATCAAGAGGAAAAAATAATAAAGGGTGTTTGTATTTGGTCTTTAGGATTTGGTATCTGTATTAACGACTACAAAGACAGGAATATTAGCACTTGTATTTTGTCTTTACATTTTGGTATCGGTCAGTACCAAGACCCTTATATCAGCTTTGGTATTTGGCCTTTTAAAAACTGGTATCGGTGCATCCCTGCTAGTGATCCAGCAACACCCCTGAACCTGATGAAGCGTGAGGTTTCCAGCCGTCTTTGTGTTTGTGAGGGCTTTCCTGTTTCTGCTGAAGCACAAAGAGAGGCAGCGCTGCGTGTTCACCGCTCTTTCAGGAGCAGATAAAGCTGCAGTGTCACGTTGCATCCGAAAGCGAGTAGTCGAAAAGAGCACTTTCAGAAAGAGCAGGACTGGAGGGATGAGGGTGGAGGAGTACAGACGCTCAGTAAGCCCTAAATAACCCGCCTGTGCTGTAATGAGTGTTTAACCAGCGCTCAAACACAGGCTTCATGCTGGATTACAGAGGCACAGCAGCGACTGCAATTTACAGCGTTTGATGCATCAGTATCTACACGCACACACGACTTTAATCATGCTCTTCTTCTGTGTTTCTGACAAATATTCATCCAGGAAGAAGCGTTCACTGCAGAGACCAGATGAGTGAAGGTGTTGGGGTTTGTTTAATTTGTTTTAAACGTGTATCTGCCATTGAGGTTAGACTGTATTCCAGTGACAGATACACTCCTGAGCAAAATCTCAAGACCGGGGGAAACATTTCAAGTATTCACTTTAGCACCGGTGGATTGTAATCAGGTTGCAAGTACTGCTTTGAAATGCCAAATAAAGACACAGGTGCAGCAGAGAGTAGGCAATTAAATTAAAATTGCATTTAAACTCAAACAGGCTCAAATCAGCTGATCAAGTGTAGGATCAGAGCCTTAAAGTTAAATTCTGTGCAAAACTGGCTTTGCTGTGAGTTTCCTTCGGCCTGTAAAACTCTAATGATCTCTAGATGGCCAAGGCAAAAAAGGCTTTCTCTTTTTGAACGTGGCAGGATTGATGAGCTTGTTGCGTGCCGGAGCGACTGTCTTTGTTTTGGTTATTTAACCCGCCCAATGCCAGTTTAGCCAATTATATTCCAGCACCTGGGTTGCCTTGGTGGAAAACAGCGTAACGATTTATTCAGTCAGGAAGAGTCTCAAAGCATGCGTCTGTGACTGAAATGTGACCTCTGGTGGACAATAGCAGACTCCGAAATGAGGCGCAGATTCAGAGTTCCACATGAAGTTATGAATTGGCAAATTAGTTGAGCAGGATACATTGTAACCAGGGCTTTACATTAACACCCGGCAAATGTGGGTAGATTTCAGCTTTGGCGGGTTAGACAGACACCTCCACTAGCCACTTTGGCTGGTTGAAAATAAATTTTAAATTGTAGTTTTCCTAAAAGCAGGGTTCGACAATATAAGGATGACCCAATATGCGTGCAAATGTGATCTTAGAATTGAAAAGTAAACTAATTGTGATCACGCGAGCAGAAGAAAGCAAGTGAATACTGAATGAGAGGATGATGATCACTCGCGCTAACAGCTGATGTAATGCGCGTGACGACTTAAAATGCATGCGCGCTCCCGAATCGTGAAGCAACCGTGTCTGGAAACGCAACTGTCATCGGTTCTCTTTCAAATAAACTGGACAAATAGTGATGAACATGCACCTTCAGTCCTGATGCTTTCAAGAGCTCAAAATGTGTATTTTTGTAAGCAGCAGCGGTTGCTTTCACTTTGAACAGATTATTAATGGCCTAAAGTTAACCGTGTGCATGTGATCATCCTTTCATTATCACACACGGTATGTTTCACCTGCTTTTATTTGCTTACGGTTTTATTTGCTTTTATTTTTGTTAAAATGGTTTAATTATCTTTTTTTTTTTTACAATATTGCTTTAATTGGAGATGAACTCTCCATTTATGTGCAGTCAACTGCTGATCCGAGAGATCTTTAGCCATGACAGGTTACCAAGCTTATTTTTGATACATGACAATAGTTATTTTTTTAAAAGTCAATTGCTTTTCTTTCTTTAAGACGTATTTTGTTAAATAAAAAGTATAGTATACAGCTATATTTTGTTTGTTTTGACACATTAAATTTGTAGCTGAGAAATAATTATTGTTTAGTGTGGCTATAGAGATAAATTTGGTACAACACTGTGAAACCATGACCCATTTGCTCATGGTCATTGAGCAAGCTCATACTTGACACACACAAAGAGAAATGAATGAGGACGCATGTGGACATAACATCAAATTTAAATCAAGTAATTTTAGCATGTCAATGGCAAATTTATGCATGTAAAACATATTTTCCCAACAACAAAATTGTGGCTAGTGAAAATGCAGAGTGGCTAGTAACATTGGAAAACTACTAGCCACAGTGGCCAGTGATTAAAGAAGTTAATGTAAAGCCCTGATTATAACCCTGTTTGCACCAGACGAAACCGGACAGACATGTAAATACAGCCATTCAGAAGCACAGAATACTGCACTCACTGCACTCCAGTCTATTCACCTTATTCTCAGCTGTCGAGCGGGCGCTGCCATTTGAATCTTTTTGTCTCGCGACTTCCGGTCACATTCACTTCCATTCATTTTTTGACGTTAACAACTGCTCGTTACGCTGCTTGATGTTGCAATTTAATATTTTCTTATTATATTATGCTACTTGGTCTGTGTAGTCATGCAAACATTTGTTTGTTGAGCAAGTAGTTTGGCCGTTTTCTGCCGTTTATTATTCCTAGTCATTTCTCCCATAGGCGACTGAATCGGAAGTTCTAAGACAATCGCGAAAACAGGCGCACTTCCGCATTTTACAATAAGGTCAATAATCTAACGAATACATATTAAACCTCTTTAACATGATTAAATGTAGAGGCTGAGTCACTGATATGTGTTAGTTTGCACTGAGTCTCAGATCTAAAGTTCAGTTTCAGACAGTTTATTTTATTCTCCAGATCTGAGCGGAACTATCTGCTGCTGCTTTCAGTAGTGTGGCAATAAATGTGATGTGAAACAGCATTCAGACTCACATTATGAGCATTTAGCACTGAATAAAGCACATGAGCTGTACCTGAGCTGGTCATTGTCAGGTTATCCTGTTGTTAGCTTTGAGAAATAGAAGCCGCTTCTAATATATCCATTCGAAGTGTTGGTTAGGACAAAAACTCGCAATCAATAGTTTAAACACTGGGTGTCAGACTTGCATACTGCACCTTTAATATTATATATTATTAGTATTAGTTGTATTATTAGTAAGTATCCTATCTATCTATCTATCTATCTATCTCTCTATCTCTCTATCTATCTATCTATCTATCTATCTATCTATCTATCTATCTATCTATCTATCTATCTATCTATCTATCTATCTATCTATCTATCTATCTATCTATCTATCTATCTATCTATCTATCTATCTCTCTATCTATCTCTCTATCTATCTATCTATCTATCTATCTCTCTCTCTCTTTCTCATCCATCTTTCTATCGTGTTCTATCTAACTAGTTTAATCCACCCATGTATCCATCCATCCATCCATCTATATATCTATCTATCCATCCATCCATCCATCAATCTATCCTTCTATCTTGTTCTATCTACCTAGTTTAATCCACCCATTTATCTATCAATCTATCCATCCATCCATCCATCCATCCGTCTATCTATCATTCTTTCCATCCATCCGTCCGTCCGTCCGTCCGTCCGTCCATCCATCCATCCATCCATCCATCCATCCATCCATCCACCTACCTATCTCTACTCGCCCACCAATGCTTTCTCAACTTTTCAAGCACCAACAGAAGTGTCAGCCAATCAGATTGCTTTATGCAAATACACCAGCTCAGACTGTAGCTGATTGGAGACTAATTTTATTGGCTGATGCTGCTATGACGATCGTGTCAGCCTCCACTTTAGACACGCCCTTCGTCAAGCATTGACGCTGAAGCCCTGAATGAATCAGGCGTTAAGTGTTTCTGCTGGCTACACCTCTCTAAGTGGCGTTTTCATTCAGGTCCAGTTGAGTTTGAGCCGAGAGTCAGAGATGATCGTAATTACAGTGAAGCTCTGAAATCTGAGATGAGTTTAATGTGGAGTCTGGCGAAGACCCTCAACTGAGAGTGTGTGTGCGTGGCTGAGAGTGTGTTTGAGTGTGTGGCTGAGAGTGTGTGCAGCTGAGATTGTGCGCTTGCATGTGTGTATGTTTGTCTGTTTGTTTGTGCCTGTGCACGCATGTGTTTGCACACTTGTGTGTTTACGTATGCGCATGTGTGTTTGTTTGAGTGTGTGTAAATTAAATGTTTATATATTTTCAGAAAGAGAACGGGCCATCAAACCCCCCTGTTTCAGCAGGGTGCTTTCACACCTTTAGTTTGAATAAAGTCAGGAAAGTGGGTGTGTCCAGCTCTGTTTAGAGGGGAGTGTCAAGTGGCGAAAGAGGGAAGGGTTTGCATAAAAAGGAGAGTTTCAGTATGTGAACTATAGCTGATTTTTACAGCGGCAACACAAACGAGACTCAGAGAGTCTCCAAACAATTCTTCTTCTTTCACTTGTTTTGGCAACACAACATGGCGTCTCTCTGCCGTCTGAACACTGCAAAAGGTAAACAGTCTAGGAAGCGATCATGCATACTAATGAAGCTGCACCTCATACACAATAGAGCGCGCTGATTGGTTTAAAGTCTTACTCGTGAATGATTGCAGTACACTCAGAGACGTCACAATGTACTCGCCGGTACAGACATCCAGTCTGTTGTTTTTAACCAGGCTAACAAGTTCCTAAACTTCAGGGGGTGTTTAGACAATTTTCAATCTGGTTTCAGAGCACATCACAGTACAGAGAGTACTCTGACCGTGCGTTCACACCGAAAGCGGCGACAGCGTCAAAGTAGCCGGAAGTCATTCATTTTCAATGAGAGCCGGCGGCGATAGGCGGCAAGGCGCAGCGCGTCTTCGCCGGCGTGAGCGTCGAGGAGAGTTGAAATGAAGTCAACTTTATGATAATGAGCTATGACGCGGTTCGGCGGCAAGCAATCAGAATGAAGACGTCCATCGATTGATAACAGTTCAGAGAACACAGACCTGTGAACTTTGGTTCCGACCACAGTTGTTCCCAAAGGTTTGATTATTGCGGTCGCCGGATTTCCAATTATTTAAATTTTTTTCCTACAGGAACATGCATTAAATAAGTTACTGGCGAGTTACTGATGTTCATTAATGAAATATAAATTTATCTTAAAGCGGGAATCTCACGCGATGTGACAGTACAAAACAGTACTGCTGCTTCAGGATATTTCAGACATATGGATACATATTGGATAAATAGAGCAAAGCCACAGCACACGCAACTTGATCTTCCATTGTTGTATGAATTTGGTAAGAAGTGCGCAACATTTTCACGCTAAAAACATGTCTTATGCAGAATGTAACTGATAATGCTGCAACGGCTCCTTAAAATATGAGATCAATGTAGCGAGTTTTGACACTCTCGCCGCCGGAGCTGAAGGCAGACAGCGTTGTCTCCAGGGCGGCCAGAGCGACCTTGGACGCTCTCGCCGCTTTCGGTGTGAACGTACGGTTATAAAGATAATCAATGATATACACCTAAACACAGATTCAGGTAAAATAACAGTGCTGGTATTGTTGGATCTCAGTGCTGCATTTGACACTGTCGATCACAGCATACTACTGGATAGGCTGGAAAACTGGGTTGGGCTATCTGGCACGGTCCTCAAATGCTTCAGATCTTACCTTGAAGGTAGAGGTTACCATGTCAGTATAGGTGACCATAGGTCAAGGTGGACACCCATGACATGTGGAGTCCCACAATGCTCGATTCTGGCACCTCTCCTGTTCAACCTTTACATGCTCCCTCTAAGCCAAATAATGAGAAAGAACCAAATCTCCTACCACAGCTATGCTGATGACACTCAGATCTACCTAGACTTAGTGCCTAATGACTACAGCCCCATTGACACCCTCTGCCAATGCATTGATGAAATGAGCAATTGGATGTGCCAAAACTTTCTTCAGTTAAACAAAGAGAAAACTGAAATTATTGTGTTTGGGAACAGAGATGAGCTTCTCAAGGTGAATGCGTACTTTGGCACTAAAGGTCAAACGACAAAAAATAAGGTCAAGAATCTTGGTGTGACTCTGGAGTCAGATCTGAGTTTCAACAGTCATGTCAAAGCAGTCAGTAAATCAGCATACTATCATCTCAAAAACATTGCAAGAATCAGATGCTTTGTTTCTAGTGAAGATTTAGAAAAACTTGTTCATGCTTTTATCAGCAGCAGGGTGGATTACTGTAATGGACTCCTCACTGGTCTTCCTAAAAAGACAGTCAGACAGTTGCAGCTCATCCAGAATGCTGCAGCCAGAATTCTGACCAGAACCAGAAAATCAGAGCACATCACACCTGTCCTCAGGTCTCTACACTGGCTCCCAGTTACATTCAGAATAGATTTTAAAGTATTATTACTGCTCTATAAATAACTAAATGGCCTAGGACCTCAATACATTACAGATATGCTCACTGAATACAAACCTAACAGATCACTCAAATCTTTAGAATCTTATAAACTAGAAGTTCCAAGAGTTCAGTCAAAGCAGGGTGAATCTGCCTTCAGCCACTATGCCCCTCGCTGCTGGAATCAGCTTCCAGAAATGATCAGATGTGCTCCAACATTAGGCACATTCAAATCAAGACTGAACACACATCTGTTTAGCTGTGCCTTTACTGAATGAGCACTGTGCTGCGTCCGACAGATTGCACTATTAAGTTTTTCTCTTCTTCTTCATTCTTTTATATCACATTTTACCTGTTTTTATGCTTTTTTTTTACTCGTTTTTATTATTTGTTTTTATTTTTATTTTACTTGTTTCTTTTATTCTTGTTTATGTAAAGCACTTTGAATTGCCATTGTGTATGAAATGTGCTATATAAATAAACTTGCCTTGCCTTGCCTTGCACGCTGGAATACACGCAAGGATCTAATCGCTATGACACAGTTTCAGAAATTTTTTTTAAACTGGAAGAACGAATTTGCTGTAAATAACTCAAAAACATCCAGTTTTCACTTGTTAGTGAGATATACGTGTCTTAATAGTGTTTATAGCAGGGTGGGACACATATACGACTGTCAACAGCTCAACACATGTGGTGTTTCGTGACTCTTTAATATTAGACATCATACATATTTTTTGAGTGTCTAACTTATCTGTTAGTCCGTGTCTATAAGAGCATGTGCTTTTGCCTGTTTATTTTGTCCATGACAATGCACTGACACTGCTCCTGGTGTGTGTCTGTCTCTCTCTCTCTCACTCTGTGTCTGTGTGTGTGTTCAGGAGTGACGGTGTGTTGCCGTCAGGAGTGTTGGTCCAGAAGGACAGGCTGGTGTTTTCCCGTCCGCTGCAGCAGACCGATGAGGGTGTTTACGTCTGCAGGACACACAACACCCTGGGAGTCGCCAAAGCTGAGTTTACACTGCAGATTGACGGTATGGTTCTCATGTTGTATGATGTATTACACCAAAACATATTGCAATAAACATCGTCATTTTATGCCTCCGATGAGAATGACAATATAATAACGTCCACTCTTCCAGAGAACACATCATATTTCATTTATACGAATATTTAATGTAATTATAGTGATTTAAACACTTTAATAATTCTGCATCGGAGTCAGAAAGTGAAAACGCAGATCCTAAATAAATAAATAATAATAAATGTTACACAAGTTCAAGGTAAAGACTAACAGAGGCTGTGATATCTGCTACCAGAGCTATTTTCAGCCGTCACACACCCACATTTACAATACTATAGTAAATACTACAGTGTTTTTAACCATACTGACACGGAGTCTTCATGATGCCGCTCAGGGCAATCACCCATACTGCCCATGTGTTCAATAGTATCTGGATGCAGCCTTTATGATGCAAGCTGAGACTGCATCACTCAGCGATGCAATGTCAGACACAATGCATTCAATGGAGTGAGTGACGTCACTGACGGGTGGGGTCAGGTGAGCGCATTAAAAAGTATTGGATGCAGCTCAGATTGCACTGCACCGAGTCTGCAGCCAGACCCCTCTCCATGTGTTTGCACATGTTTGTGTATGTCTGAGAGTGTTTGCATGCATGTTGTTTGCAAAAACGTGTGTGTGCATGTCTGAGAGAGAGAGTGTGTGTTGTATTTGTGCATGTATGTGTGTGTTTGCCCGTGTGTATTTCGCGCATACTACATCTGTATGTATGTTAGTAGTTTAAGTGTGTGTGTGCGTCAGTGTGTTGCTTGCGCATGTGTGTGTTGTTTGCACATAGCCTACATTGTGTTCATGTTTGTGTGTGTGGCAAGATTCATTCATTCATTCATTGTCGGCTTAGTCCCTTTATTAAATCGGGGTCGCCACAGCGGAATGAACCGACAACTCATCCAGCATGTTTTTACCCAGCGGATGCCCTTCCAGCTGCAACCCATCTCTGGGAAACTGTGTGGCAACAGTAAAAGACAAATCATATCTCTTTATTTGGTGAAAACCAGCAACAAGGAAGAATGCATGATTATATACGGTCAATGAATGTGATTATAATGGAAGTCAATGGGGCAAAAGCAGCACCAACATCACCAAAGGGGAGTCTATCTGGAGAGTGTGTTGAGCTTTTTTTTTTTTTTTTTTTTTTTTCAAAGTTGTTTCCCAAAATATCTGTCAAAATAGAAGTTGACACCAAAACTTATCCCATTTGCTAAAAAGCAGAGAAAGCTGTGGCCAAATTAAGACTCAAAATCAGCCCAGAGTGGATGAAAACGACCTGAGAGCACACAGGGGTTATAATAATATAAACAGGGGAACATTACAATGATGATTAGATTGTTAGCAGAGTTATTTTTATATTAGACATGTATTAAAGTGCACTCTGGTGCAGAAATAGACCAACTCTGTCTGCGGCAGCAGGAAAAGAGCCTGAAATAAAGCGGATGTTTGATTGTGGAAATGTTCTGTTTGTGTGTTGTGACTGATCAGGTCATTTTCTCTGCTAGTTTATTTCCACACAGCAGCAGCGAGTTTGACTTCCTCATAATGGTTTTCGCAATCATGTAAATTTAGCTTTTATTCTCAGGCAGCAGTGACTCAGAAACACCGCCTGCTTTCAGGGTTAATGCATGTTTATTTACCACACAGTCATGACTCTGCTGCCCCCTTGTGGAGATAATGGGATATTTTAATATGTCTATTTTACATCATAATCAATTATTATATTCAATTAAAAATAAAACATTGCAGGCATCAGCATACTTTACTGTTTAAATAATGATTTTATTATTATTTTTTTTAAAGTGTCCTTAAAGGTTTTGTTCGTACACTCACTGGCCACTGTATTAGGTACACCTTACTTAAACCAAGTTAGACCCCCTTTTGCCTTCAAAACTGCTTTAATCCTCGGTGGCTGAGATTCAACAAACTACTGGAAATATTCCTCAGAGATTTTGCTCCATATTGTCATGATAGCATCACACAGTTGCTGCAGATTTGTCGGCTGCACATCCATGATGCCAATCTCCCGTTCCACCACATCCCAAAGCTGCTCTATTGGATTGAGCTCTGGTGACTGTGGAGGCCATTTGAGTACAGTGAACTCATCGTCATGTTCAAGAAACCAGTCTGAGATGATTGAGCTTTATGACATGCTGCGTTATCCTGCTGGAAGTAGCCATCAGAAGATGGAGACACTGTGCTCATAAAGGGATGGACATGGTCAGCAGCAATACTCAGGTAGGCTGTGGCGTTGATGCTCAATTGGTACTAATGGACCCAAAGAAAATCTCCCCCACACCATTACACCACCACCACCAGCCTGAACCGCTGATACAAGGCAGGATGATCCATGCTTTCATGTTGTTGAGGCCAAATTGTGAGCCGAGCATCTGAATGTGTCAGCAGAAATGGAGACTCATCAGAGCAGCAACGTTTCTCCAATCTTCTATTGTGCAGTTTTGGTGAGTCTGTGTGAATTGTAGCCTCAGTTTCCTGTTCTTAGCTGACAGGAGCGTCACCCGGTGTGCTCTTCTGCTGCTGTAGCCCATCCGCCTCAAGGTTGGCCGTCTTGTGTGTTCAGAGATGCTCTTCTGCAGAGCTCGGTTGTAACGAGTGCTTATTTGAGTTACTGTTGCCTTTCTATCAGCTGGAACCAGTCTGGCCATTCTCCTCTGACCTCTGGCCTCATCAACAAGGCATTTGCGCCCACAGAACTGCCGGTCACTGGATATTTCCTCTTAGTCAGAGCATTCTCTGTAAACCCTAGAGACGGTTGTGTGTGAAAATCCCAGTAGATCAGCAGTTTCTGAAATACTTAGAGCAGCCCGTCTGGCAGCAACAACCATGCCACGTTCAAAGTCACTTAAATCCCCTTTCTTCCTCATTCTGATGCTCGCTTTGAACTGCACCAGATTGTCTTGACCATGTCTACATGCCGAAATGCAATGAGCTGCTGCTATGCGATTGGCTGATTACAAATTTGTTAACAATCAGTTGAGCAGGTGTACCTAATAAAGTGGCCGGTGAGTGTATATGCAAATGAGGCATTGTATATGTCAATACACATTAATTTGCATACTTCCAAACTAGTAATCTGAACATTGGATTAAGCCAGGTTCAAAACCAGCATTTGATTTTGACAACAATGAAAATAATTGTAGGTGGCGCAGTGGGTAGCCCGTTCACCTCACAGCAAGAAGGTCGCTGGTTCGAGCCTCAGCTGGATCAGTTGGTGTTTCTGTGTGGAGTTTGCATGTTCTCCTTGTGTTGGCGTGGGTTTCCTCCAGGTGCTCCGGTTTCCCCCACAAGTCCAAAGACATGTGGTATAGTTGAATTTGGTATGCTAAAATTGACTGTAGTGTATGTGTGTGAATAAGTGTATGGATGTTTCCCAGTGATTGGTTGCAGATGGAAGGGCATCCGCTGCGTAAAACATATGCTGGTTAAGTTGGCGGTTCATTCAGCTGTGGTGACCCCTGATTATTAAAGGGACCAAGTCAAAAACAAAATGAATGAATGAATAAATAATTATTGTATTTAATAATAATAACTGTATT